ATTTGTCTTTCCAGTCTAACGATTTCACTCTGGGAATTGCAGGAACGTTGCAATATCATCCAGAAAAATCTATTGCCTTCAAAAAGTAATAGGCACTAGAACACTGAATTTGTATAAGTATTAAGAAAGAAATGTATTTTTGTTCAGCTGAATACAGGACTAATGAAAAATAAACTTCAGGAAGAGTAAGCAAAAAGCAGATCTTTCAGTACCTTCCTCCTTCCTATTTACTGGAAGGATTCCCATGGTACAGAGGCATATTGAGATCAGGAGGCTTTGGGGGAGCACAATCAACACCTTAGAAATAAGCCGTGCTTTTTGCTGCATGCGAGGTACTTACCAATGGACGAGTGGAGGGTTAGTAGCTTTAAAAAATGTAAAAAGAAATACAACATTAATTCAGTTCCTTTTCTAATAAATGGATTGGCCCAGTTTAGTGGACCCTTAAGAAATGAACACTTGTCTGATCTATGTAGACTTTACAAGAGTTTCCATAGCACCCCAAAATACCAGAAGTCAATGTCTTGTTTGGGGTACAAATGCCTCAACATCTGACTAAAGATTTTGAACTCGCTAACAGTTCTTCCATTGACTGGGGAGGGAGCTAGAGATGATCTGACAAAGTCAGCCACGAGCAGGGTAAATTAGTCCACCCCAGCCAGCGCGATCACAGGCAAGATTGCTCCTAGCGAGGGAGCTGGTTAGTGGCAGTTGAACTCGGGCATCTCTGCAGTTCACTGCTGTGACCACAGCGCAGATGTTTCCTACCTGTATACTCTGCCTCTAAATCTTTGACATGCAGTGATTTCTCCTTGCATAACCTGAATCCAGTTCTTCAGAAAAGTTACAGGTAGCGTGTCAGTGGACAATAAAAGGTAGTCAAATATTATTTGTGGTAGCAGTGAGCAGGAGGTGGCTTCACAGAATCCAACTGTAACATTTTGAGACTCCTAGTATTGCAGGGGCTGAAATTTTTCCAGAGAAAACAATTTCTTCTGTAAAATGCCATACTTTTTACTTAGAACATTTGAATTTTCACTCTATATCATGGCAATATTTTAAAGTCATTTTCCAGACATTCAGTTTGGAGGCTGTTTTTGTCTTTTGCCTGCTTCCCTTAAGAAATTCCTATATTCTTTTTCAATCTTCATTTTATAACATGTGTGAACATTCCATGAAACCAAATACGCATGTAAAAAAAAAGAGATATATGGCTCTTGCAGTGCCTTATGGGAGACATTTTTTTTCCTGCAAAAATAAATATTTCTCCTTCTCCAAGATCAGCCTAAACACTCAGTGCAGTTGCTCAACTAGTCTATTGGTAGTTCAGCAGCAGCCCTCCCTCAGTGAAGCATTAAGCTGAGGTGGTGGCAGCCTACCGAATCACGCATTCTCGATAACAGCAGAAGGCTGCTCACTCTTCAGCCTGGAGGTGTCAACCAAACTGATCAGGGAAAGCAAAGGTCGAGTGTCTCAGTTATAAGCATCTGGGGTTAATAACTATAGTAGTTTTGGAGCATCAGATGGTTCACAATTGATTAAGTTACAGGGTCTCAGAATTTTTTTTGTCAGCCTGGAGAATGGCCTGCAACTGTCAAAAGTATCTTCTGTATTAGTGGGTGAGTGAGCATGAAAAGAATACCCATGAATGCTCTGTGGTTATAAGCCACAGTAAGTTATTTTTGACCTCAGTGACAGGCAGGACTTCAGAGTGAATAAATGCTGAATAACCTTTTCTTAGATTAATAGCTGTGCAAACATTTGTATTCCACTATCTCCTTGTATGCAAAATCTGTGCTATATGACACAGGTATTGAACCTCCCTGCTGCCCTAATTCCACACCCCACTCTCATTCTCTGCCCCTGTGGACTCAAGTCTCGCAAAACCTTATGAAGTGTCTACAGCTTGTGGTCTCTGGACCTATCACCTCCTCCCTCTCCCATTCTCCTTTTCCTAGGAATCTTCAGGTCCCTAACTTCCCTGAAGCCACCATGCTTTAAACCTTGTTCACACGTATCTTTTGGATTCTTCTTCACCCTTTAGCTTTTCTTTCTTCTCAAGTGTCAACCCTGGCATGCTGTCCTGTCCACCTCTCCCAGTCCATTGCTTAAATGCTCATCTGCTGCAGACAAAGGCTAAAATCCACTGCAAGTCAATTTATATTTATGAAAGTATAAATTTTATATGGCTCTTTATTACCTGTAAATATAAACACCCGGAGATAATTTTCACCAACTGACTACTGCTCAAAATCTTTGACAATCAAAGTAATTGGAGACTGCAATGAAAGCATAAAATGTAACCCTCCATTCTCTCCTCAGGTACAGATGAATACCTGTTTTGAACAAACCGTCAGTGAATTCCTTGTCAGCCTCACACAGAGCCTGCATGTTGACTTGAAGAGAGCCGTGTTCCTCTGGCTATTTGAACATGCAACACAGCCAAGATCTGTTGTAAGTAAATCATTTATTGTGCCTAACATAACGGATGAAATGTCTGTACTGTGTTCCAGCCCACCTGATACGCATGGGCCTGTCTTACAAGCAATGCTACAACTTCACAAATACAGGCTTGGCGAAGAATGGATTGAGAGCAGCCCTGAGGAGAAGGATCTATGGGTGCTGATTGATGAAAAGCTCAACACGAGGCAGAAATGCGTGATTGCAGCCCAGAAAGCCAACCATATCCAGGGCTGCATCAGAAGAAATGTGGCCAGCAGGTCGAGGCAGGTGATTCTTCCCCTCTACCCTGCCCTGGTGAGACCCCACCTGGAGTACTGTGTCCAGCTCTGGAGCTCTCAACATAGGAAAGACATGGACCTGTTGGACTGGGTCCAGAGGAGGGCCACAAAGATGATCAGAGGGCTGGAGCACCTCTCCCATGAGGACAGGCTGAGAGGGTTGGGGTCATTCAGCCTAGAGAACAGAAGACTCCAGGGAGACCTTATAGCGGCCTTCCAGTACCTAAAGGGGTCTACAGGAGAGCTGAGGAAGGGTGTTTTACAAGGGCGTGTAGTGGTAAGGACAAGGGGGAACAGCTTCAAACTGGAAGAGGGTAGATTTAGATTAGATACAAGGAAGAAATGTTTCCCTCTGAGGGTGGTAAGGCACTGGAACAGGTTGCCCAGAGAAGTTGTGGAAGCTCCATCCCTGGAGGTGTTCAAGGCCAGGATGGGGCTTTGAGCAACCTGGTCTAGTGGGAGGTGTCCCTGCCCATGGCAGGGGGGTTGGAACTCGATGATCTTTAAGGTCCCTTCCAACCTAAACCATTCTGTGATTCTAGGATTCTATGATTCTACTACACCCTCATCCCCACAGCTGGCAAGTCAGAATCACTAGGCTTTATGCTTTCCTGGGTGAGGCAAATCACTGGTCAGGTTTTCCAAAGAGATCAAGTTTTAAGTAGTCAACAGTTAAATCCAAAGGCAGCAAGAGCCTTCTGCCGTTAAGTTAGGTCCCTCCCAAGTCCCGAAATTTGCTGCTGCTGCTGCTAGCGAATCACTGCGAGATCTGGTGGGCGCCAAGTTCTTCCTTAACCATTTCCCATTTCCTTTTTCTATCACGAAGCGGTGCCCTCGGCACCGAGCCCACCCACCCTGGCGACGGGTCCGGCGGGACCGGTCCCTC